AGCCGATTCCAGTAGACGAGAGCAGGCGGATATTAACAAAGGAGTTCAGCAGCCACGGCCCTGCAGGCTGTTTCATCCTGTGGGCACAGGACATGGTGATGTTGAATTCTTAAAGATGCTCGTACTCTTTGCTGTACTTCCTGTTCCTGTGTGTCACAGTGAAATGTGTAGGTGCATGAGTGTTTTACGACTGACTGCTTGGCTTCCTGAGGCCCTGCGCTCTGCATGAGTGCAGTGCTCACTGGCAGGGGAAGTGAGTGTCCGAGGAAGGCCTGTCTCTGGACTAGGGGGCGGCCTGGCCCTGAAGGGGAGAGGAGAGAAGATGGATATGATTAGAGGGCTGTGGCAGGAATCCTCTGGCCTGCTGCCCAGGAAGCTCTTCATCTAAGGAATGGGTCCCAAGGGCCCAGAGATGGGCCCCATGTTGTGGGCACGGTTGGCAGAGAGTGGGGCTGTTCCTCCAGGGATAGTGTGGTAGCCATGCTGCCACTAGGCCTGGGCTCGGATGCCCCCGCTGTGGGTGCACTTTGTGCTCTCACTCAAAGAGAGATGGTCAGCCTGGTCACACTTGGCACTGTTTTAGTCGATATTAGTTGGGCCGGAGAGACTAGGAACCCAAAGACCTCTATTGATTGTGTAACAGATGGGTCTGACTGAGTCTGAGTCTGCTGGAGTCTGACTGACAGCCTTGTAAATGTTCATGTTGTGTGATCTCTGGCCACAATTTCAGATTGCTGTTCATTTTGGTGGGGAGCCCATGAAGCTTTGCTGATCCTCTTTGGCTTAATCAGTGCATTCATGAGCATCACTCCATTAGAGGGAATAAGTAGATGTTCAAGCCAGGTGCCTCAGAGGAGAGAAGCCATTGGCCCCAGGTCACAAAGCAAGGGTAGAACTAGGGCACCTGCTCTGTCCTGAGCTCTGCATGGGTGCACAGGGGACTCTGGCCAAGCTGGCTGGTAGGCAAAGACAGGGATGTGGTAGTCTAGCCAACCTCAGAAGGTGCCATCACTCAGATTAACAAAAATGTATCCAGGGCAGGAGGAGTGATAGATAAAACTTGAGAGTTCCCAGAAATGCAACAAACTCTGTTCTTTGTGCAGAGCCCATGGGGACTGGATCCAAATTCCCGAGACCCCCACTGGCCCGCACCCTGCATCCTGAGCTGCTCTGCCCAGGCAGCAGGGCCTGGTCCCGTGGCGGGTCCTGTCTGCACACCACTCTCACATCCCGGCACCCGCGCCCCTTCGTCAGCAGTGGAGGCAGAGCTGGAGCCCCTCATCCTGAGGCTTAGTTGGTGTTGAGGCGGCTCCTGCAGCACTAGGTGCAAGGCGCCCTGTAAATTCCAGGCCTGAAGACTCCTGTCACATCCATCACCATGTTTATTGTCCCAACTGATCTCTGGGTAGTCAATCCCATTTGCTTGTCTCAGGATGAGTAGGCAGCCTCTCCCTGTGCTGCGCCCAGGGCTCTGTGCAGAATTATGTCAGCTTGCAATAAATTAGCAGTAAATGTTCCATCATTTTCTTTGGATAATTAAATTAATTATTCAAGAGACAATACCAAACTTTTTAGTAGTAAAGCCAAAAGAAAAAAAATCCAGAGTGGCGGTAGCTTCCCCACATGGTGGTGTGGGAAAGCAGGCTTGGGCCAGAACTAGAAGAGGGGGTGGAGGGTGGGAACATCAGTGCCCGTTGCCTTACTCAGGGTTTGCTGATGGGTGCTTGTGATCAGGGTGGACTCCAAAGCTGATTATGGGGTCCAGGCAGGGCCCAGATGCACCCCACTATGCTCCACCCCCTCCACCAAAGCATAACTGCACCTCTCCTGGCCCCTCCTCAGAAGTGCTGGGCATTGGCAGCCACACGCCCTGGTGGTGGATTATTTATGAGGATGCTCTCCGTGTCTCCCTTGACACATCCTCAGAGGGCTTCCCCTTCCATTATGTCATTAGCGATCCCACAGCCTTTCGGGTGGGGCCCGAAGGAGCCACCGCTCCTTTGCGTGGATGGGAACAGTTGCTGGGCTCTGCTCAGAGCCACAGAGCAGTGGTAAACAGGTGAACTGAGGATCCAGCACTAGGGCTGGGGGGGGGGGGAAGGGGTGCTCTGGGTGGGGACCCAAGCTCAGAGCCCTGATGTGTCCATCCAGACCTGGCCTTGGCTGGCTGAGCCCAGAGTAGCTGGGAGCCTTGATTAAGCAAACTCTGCACAGGTGCTGAACAGTACACTGCAGACTTGGACTTCTCTCATCTGGGGCTCTGGCCCCATGTCCTTTCCATAGAGGCAAGCAAACAGCAGCAGCAGAGCCTGAGTCTCAGGATTCAGGCTCCAGAAAGGGGGTGTCCTGGAGCTAGAAGGGGCTCATGGGCTGAGGGTTGCAGGAAGGGAGTGAATGCACCACATGGAGAGAAACCTAGGCCACAGCCTGTGACTCAGGCTGGGTTCTGTGACAGCCCTTCCCCACTGTGACCCGAAAGCCAAGCTTTAGATTGGAACTAGGCAGAGCATCATGAGGCCTCACTCCCATGTTGTGGGTGGCAGGCCAGGTTTCCTGCAGTGGCCACCAGTCACTGCCAGTTCTGAAGCCAGCTGACTTCCTGGCCATAGGGCTGGTCAGGAAGCTGGGCCCCCAGAAGGCCAAAGGGCTGAACAGCCTGTTTCTGTCTCTGGCTTTCCTGGTGGCTTTCGATTTGAATCACTGAATGCAGTGTGACATCGCCCTGGGTGGACCTGGGTTTGAATCCACGGTGCCATGCCACAGCAGTTCACTAGTTAGTTGTGTGCCCTGGGCAGGTTATTCAGTTAATCACTCTGTGCCTGTGTTCCCTCGTCTGCCCACTGTGCAGGTCTCTGTTAGAGTGCGACAATGAAGAACATCTGTCACTGCAGGAAATGGGAGCCAATACTGTTCCTGAAGGAGGTAGCAACTGTTTCCTCCTCTGGGAGAGCCCAGATAGCTCCCCAGGGCCCCAGGGTGGCTCTCTGAAAGTAGCTTGGCAGGCAGTGTGCAGGGCCGAGCCACCCACCGTCATCTATCACTCCAGGCTGTGGCGCCTAGAGGAACTGTGGAGTGAAAGCTTTTCCACTTCCTGCTCCCTGAGACCCACACTGTGATGGGGTCTGACAAAGGAAGGGTAGTCAAATCCATAGCAAAAGTGGCATGCTTTTCTTTGTGTGCAGAGCCTTAGTGACCTTTTCCACACTGTCCCCAGCATGGCCTCTCCCCGCACGGTGCCGCCCCCACCTCCCACACTGTGGCTCCTGCATGGCCGGGCCATCCCTGAAACACTGCCATTGCTTTTGGTGGTTGACACCTGCCTTTCAGTCAGGGATACCTGGTCACATTTCCAGGAAGTGGGTCAATTTCATAGCTCAGTGCTGAAACTATAGTGTAAAAATTGCTTTCATAGATCACAGACCCAGAGGAGTGGATTCTACTATTTATTCTTTGAAAATCCCCCTCTCAAGGTTTCTCCGCTTAGGGGCTTTAGGCACCCACAGGCAGGCACTCAGCTTCCTGTCTGCTGGGGACTCTGGACAGAGAGGCAGGGCCACCTGTTACACTGTCTCCACTCTCATGAAAGGAGCAGTGAGCACAGTTCATAAGCACCCCCAGAAAAGTTGAGCTCTTATAAAACAAAGCACAGCAAACAAGAGAAACAAGTGGCGCCCTCTTAGATGCGGAAGGGGCAGGAAGCTCTGGCTTCCACTGTGCCCTGGGGCTCCTTGCTGGTGCTTGGCCCTTTCGGAAGCAAGTACTGGCCCACCTCACTGACTTGCTGGGAAGCCAGGGTAGCTTAGGAGCTAGGTGGGGCACTCAGCAAACAAGGTCCTTGCTCAGCTAGGGCTGACTGGAAGTGGCTTTTTCTAGCCGAGTGGGTAGTATAGACTGCTAGCAATGGACCCTGCTGAGTCATGTCCTACAGATTATAAATCCTGCTCGTTACAGGGCAAAAGCCGAGTGGCTGCTTTCTTGTGAGAGCTCTGGGAGCCGTGGGGCTCCAGTTTCCCAGCCTCCCTTACTAGGCAGCTTCCTCACCTTCTCTGACCTCCAAGGGGGCTCAGGAATGGAAGTGTGACTGTACAGCTGATGACCTGGGCCCTTGGATAGCTGTGTACCTCCTGGTACAGCATCTGTCCCATACTGCCTGGGAGGGTGCTGTGGGCCTGCATGTGGACATTTGCTTTCCTCTTCCAGTTCAGCATCTTCCCGAGGGGCTGTCCTCAGGCCTGTGGCCTAGGTTCTGGTTCTAGCAGGGGAGGCAGGAAACAGACTGGCCACCCATGGATGACCACACTGTCAGTGAGCCTGAGGGGACTTGGAAGTCAGGAAGACAGCAGACCTAGAGTGAGGGGTGCTGGGGCACTGGCACAGTGACCACCACCCAAAGTGGAGGGAGAAGGAACAGACTGGAAAGAAGGCTGGAGCCAGGGCTTGAATGGATGAGCCTGGCTTGGGTTCCCTGTAAACAGCAGGACCCCCTACACACACAAAAGAAAATACGGTCATAAATACAAAACCACTTGACAGCTTTTAAATGGGGAAGGACTGTAGCCAAGGGGATGAGACGGGAGGCATGATACAGGCCTGGCCTGGTGAGGAGCTGCAGCAGCTCAGCCCACAAAGACAGGGCAGGCATGGTGGTGATGGGTGGGGACGGCTACTTTGGGAGGATAATGGTCAGATCCAAGATGCTGGAGGAGGGATGAACAGAGCCAACCAGGCCTCACGCATGTGTACCATGTACCCAAGCAGGGACCCGAGGGCAGGCTGTGGACTGAGCGTGAGGTCCCCTGAGGTAGACTCAGGTCAGGGGGCTACCTGGGGGTCATCTGGCAGGATCAATGAGCTCCCTGTGGGTGGGAACAGGTCCAGGACCCTCTGCAAAGGCCTCAGGGCTGCAGAAGGCAGCTGGGCCCCTGGTGGGTTTGCCAAGCAGTGCTGGCCCCAGCGGGCCACTGGGCACAGCATCCAGGCAAGGAAAACCACAATGGGCATTTCAGTGCAGCTGGGGTTTATTATTAAAGCCGAGGTTGGAAAATGGCTGTCTCCCTACCCTCAGGGCCCTCAGTTCAGATGCCTCCTCTGAGTGAGAGGGTAAAGACTAGGTTTGTCTTCAAGAGACCAGAACACTCATGCCGCAAGAATGGGGACAGATGGGAGAGGCAGCGTCTCTACCCCTGGCAGGATGCTGGGGTGGGGCTAGGTTGCCCCTGCTCACAGTGCTGTCCCCGAGAGTCCGGGGTGGGTGTCAGGACAAAGGCCACGGAAGAGGCTGAGCTGGCCCGCACGATGCAGAGGCTGGGCCGCCCACTGGCTTTGTAGAAACGGCTAAAACCTGGCCATGAGCACCACCCTTCCCAGAGGTGGTGTGGCTCTGGGCCCTGAGGTCTGAGGTGGGTGACCTCCTGGCTTGGGTCACCTCCCTGGAGGCCACAGTACCCTGAGGGAGGCCAGGTGGGATCCCCAGCCCATGTGTGGCCCTCAGTGGCCTGGGTTCCGGAAGCTTCGAGATGGCTGTGTCCCTCTTCCCTGTAGGTTCAGGCCTCTGAGACCCTGTGCAGTGGCTGCTCTTTGGATTCCAGGGACCTGAGCTTCTCCTCCAGCACAGGGCCGGTGGGTGGGAAGTGCAGGATGGGCTGGATCTGCACCACAGCGAGGCCCTCCCGGTTCTTTCTGTTGAATAGGCAGAGCCTCCGCTCTAGCTCAGGGCTGGCGTGGGCTGAGCCCACCCTGCTGGGCTGTGTGACGGGTGCTGGGTCCAAGGCCTTCTGGGAAGGGCAGGGATCCTCAGACAGTGAGGATGCCAGGTTCTGGGCTGTCACCTGCTGGGGTGGCAGCGGTGGCAGGGCCAGGGTTGTGGGCTCTGAGGATGGATTCTCTCGAGCCATGCTGCAGTCCGTGGAGGAGTCCAGCGTCTGGCTGCTTTCACTCTGAGCCTGGGTCACGGAGCTGCAGGCAGAGCGGGAGGCGCTTTCTGAGGTGGCACTGACACAGGTGCTGTTGCCACCAAGCTTCAGGGGTGCATCCACTGAGAAGAGGTCAGAGGAGACATTGGGCTGGTGGATGTCTATGGCAGCAGTGGTGACCATGCACATCGCTGGCTCTGGGACCCCGCTGTCTGCAAGAGAGAAGGCCACATAGTTACTGCTGGCTACAGCCCTTGGAGAAGGCAGTGGGCTTGGGCACTTTCGTTCTGTGGATTCCAAAGCCCTGAGTCTCTGAGGAGGTGGGGGCAGAGAAGAGTACAGGAACGTCTTGTCTGAGAGTCTGGGAGGTAGCACGGAGGAGGCCACCTCGGGAGAACCCAGCAATACCTCCCATCACTGTCTTGTCGAACCCAAGTGTTCTAGAGCCAAGGGAAGCTGCCTGGTCCATGGGTGACAAAGTGAAGTGGCCTGGGAACAGAGCCCCGACAACCTGCAGTGGCCTTTGTGGCTTATGTAAGCCACTGAGAAGCAAGGCCTAACTTAGTCCACCAACCTGGTGCTGTGCTGGGACGGGGACTCAGGTCTTGCTGTTGGAGTCAATGGAGTTTCAAGGGGCTGTGGGGAGACTGACTGGCCTCTGGGGATGGAGATTCTCCAGGTGAGAAGTCTTGGGCAGGGGCACAGTGGTATGGGAAGCTGTGGGGCATGGACAGGAGAGATGCTGAGCCTGGAACTAGAAGATTGGTTGGAGGCCTGGACAAGCTAATACTCTGTCCTTACAACCAGGGCCTGCTAGACATTAAGGCTGTGAATCCCACTTGGAAGGTTTATGTTACCAGGTACAGAAAAATAAGATGCTAAAGCACTGGGTGCTGTTTAAAACTCAGTCTTTCCTAGAGTCAAAACCACTAGGCTTCGCTGAGACTCCCCAGGGTAAGGAAACCCAGATCAGGAACAACCCTCTTGTCCCAGCCTTGTAAACCCTTTCATGGGTCAGTGACCATGGGCTCCCGCCACCCTGACACCCACAGGCTTGGTCCCTGTACCCCACTCTGCCCTGAGGTTTGCTGGCAGCTGAAGCCCCAAGCACTCTCATCCCAAGCTCGGACTGGGCTGAGCTGGGCCTGACCACACTCACCGCTGCTGGGCCCATTGTAGTACTGGCTGATGTAGCGGTTCATGTCATCATTCACAGCTGCACCTGCAGGGCAGGGACAGAAGGGTATGGGATGCTTCACTCTGACCAGGGGATGCAGCCAGGTCATACTCTCCTACCTTCTCCCATCCCATGGCCAGGATTAGAGGCCCCTGACTGGAAGTCAGGTTCTGATGTCACAGCTCCTGAGAACCTGACCCAGGCAGGCCCTTTCCTGCTGTCTTCCGTTTCTATGACTGAGTTGAGCCAGGCTGTATCAGTGGAACTTTCCCTGCCTAAATGCGTGCATCTCTGAATCTACCTGTGGTGCTCAGGGTCCCTGGAAATGCTGCCCTTAGTGTGGGCATCCTCAAGTCCCATTGGCAGGAACTTACAGCCAGGCACATGAGTTGGGGAGCATGACAACACCCTGAGGCTTGGTCCTACAGAGAACTCCAGTCTTCTGTCCCACAGAGGAAAGGCCCAGGGTGGTGCAGGGACTCCTACCTCTGCTGGGTCTCTACAGGCAGTGGTTGTACAGGAAGAAGGCAGTGAAGGAGTAACAGACAAGACTGTGAAAGATGTCCAGGTCAAGGAAGGAAACAGGAACAGGGTCTGAAAGAAGTACTGGTCCAAGACAGCCATGATGGCTCGCACCTCTGATCCCTGAACTCTGGGAGGCTGAGGCAGAAGGGTTGCAGGTTAAAGCCCAGCCTGAGAAACTTGGTGATTTAGAGACCTTCCTTCAAAAAAGAAAAGGCTGGGGATGGATTTAGTGCAGAGGTCCTGGGTTTAATCTACAGTACCTCAATAAAAGAAACAAAAAAGAAATACAGACTCTCCTTGTTTAAAGACCAAATTTTGTTCCTGTGATTAGGTTGTTAATTGAATTGGAAACTAAATGAAGAATTGTAGATAGTACATACATTACAACAGTCAGAACCAGTGACCTGAGGAAACTCCGACTTGGTGACTTTGCTTTATTTGGATAACTCTCATGGAGTACTGTAATGTATAACAACATAAAACTTCAGTACTGTACAGTACAATCAGCAAAGCTTACAGCCCTATATAAACAAGGTTTATTGTACAAAAATAAAACCAGCACTGAGGTTTCATCAACAAGATGGACAGAAATACACACAAAAACAACAGGAGAGCTGTGTATACACCAGGTCTAAGTCCAAACCTTGCATCTTGGTCTTAAGTCCAAAAAATGATAAACCAGGTAGGTCATTAGATGAGGAATGTCTGTGTTAAACATCGTATTATCAAAACAGTTAATGAACATGCTTTATTTTTAAGAATACATGCTGTGTAATAACTTTTAAAATGCTGCAGCCACCAACAAATCATTATATCTTCTGGGTTCAGGCAATATTGATCCCTCACATGTCAGAAAAGGCAGGAATGAAAATTATTCAGAAAGCCCAGGAGATCGTATGCTAGTACAGTGATATAGAAAGTAATCATCAATAGCCATGATTGCAAAACAGATGCAAGCCAGATATGATCTTTAGCAGATCAATAAAGTGTCTATTCCTGTATTTCCTCACACACACTCTCCTGGCATCTTAGCAGCTTCCAGTGAATTCTTCACGTGAGCATAGCTGATATTGCTGGAAGCTGTGTTTTCAGTGTGCTATCTGGGCTCATTAATGAAGGAGATTCTGTAGGTCACTGCAAGGGACCCACGGGATGAAAATACACAGTACTAGTAAGATATCACAGAGCCATGAACCTTCTTGGCTCTGAAAATCACCCAAAATGCCAGATACCCTTTACAGTACAGCTGGCATTAATGGAGCCCCAGCTCTGTCTGCCTCTGCAGTAAACAGGTTGGAAGATTTAAAGACAAAGTGTGTAGTAAGGAAGCAGACTAGCCAGGAGAGTAAGACAAACATCAAACATATAAAACGATCACACAGCCAAGGATATCTGTGATAATTGTTCACTCATTTTCTGTGGTTCAGAAGTGTTTACAGAAAAGCCAAGAATGTATGTGCAGCCCCATAATGATATTTCTGTGTATCAAAAACAGTTTCAAAGGTAACATCGCTTCTCAAGAGTTTGAGAATTTATTTACCTGCAAATGAATCAGGTTACTTAGCACCTGAAGAACTGCTGAAATCCAACAGTTGTTAGAAATGAGCTCAGTAAAAACAGTGTACTGATCAGTTCTTTTGGCCTTTTGGCACAGCTGCTCTGCATCACGTTGACGACAGGTCTCAAGACCATGTTCCAGAATCACTCCTCTGTGCATCAAAACAAGCAAACTATATATATTTTGGATAAGGAGGCTTTTTTTTTTGCCTCAATATCCAAAAAATCTCAAGTAGCTTATTCTGCCCTAATATTAGACATTTTAGAAATAATGCATATTTTGAAGACATCTGTCTTCATGAATGCTGTATTTGTGCAATGTGCTCAGTGGATGTGCCTGAAATACAGTAGCTACTGGAGCTCTACATTTAATGACTGAGCCCCATTCTCATGGCCAGGATTTTTTTTTTAACCAGAAATCAAACTTAGGACTTTGCACCTGCCATGCAGGCGCTGCACCACTCAGCTATCTCCCCAGCCCTCGTGACCAGGTTATTAAATGAACTGGTTGCTAAATGAGGAATTGTAGGTAGTATCTACATTACAATATTCAGAACAAAGAAATGGTCAAAGGACACTCCAACTTGGTGACTTTGCTTTTATTTGCATAACTCTTTATGCAGTACTGTAATGTATCGCAACTATAGCACTGTACAGTACAACCAGCAAAATTACAGTACAGGGTATACTGTATCAAAAAACCCACCAGGGCTCTATCAATAAGAGGTATAGAACTGTACCCTCCCCTGCCAAAAAATGAATTAAGTCTGGTCCCAAATCCAAACAATTTGCCTCCCTTTGTAAGTCTGAGCAGTTACTAAGCAAGCAGGAGGGACCAGGAAATCTGCATTGCTTCTTCCTGGGAGGGATGGGGCAGGGCTAGGGAGGAGGAGTGCTGAGATTTCTCAGAGTGGCCTGGGAGCAGCAGGGACAACAAGGGGAGCCTGAACTTCACCTTAAGGAGTGCTGCCCTGCCCCAGGGGCGGTGAGGTGTGGTGGGTCTGCTCCCAAAGTTGTGGGGAGTGTGGTGTGGAAGGGGCAGAGTTCAAGCAGGAAGATAAGGTGCAGCTCTCCATGGGGGTGACCAGCCTGAGGGACAGAAGAGCAGTGGGGACAGGAGATGGTCAGGAGGTTCCAGCAAGGCCCAGAAAGGACAGGACAAGGACCCCAGGCTCCTACAGCAACCATCAGGCTGAGCTTGGGGCTGCTCCCCAGCCTGCCAGGTCCTGGGCACAGGGCAGGCCCCAAACCCCAACTCCACCGCAGGGAGTCCAGTGCCTTCCCTGCCCTCCGTCCCTGCCTGTAAGTGGTGATAACGACATCCACACGCCCAAGTCACAGAGATGTCAGGCACTTCTCTGGAAGGCAGGAGTTGCTCCAGGCCTGTCCCAGACCCCAGCCTTAAATCCAATCTTTGGAGGCACTGAGGTGGGCAGGAGATAGACATGACCTTTGTGACAGACACACCATGTGCTACAGGGGCTCATCTACCTCATACTGTGTGTGCACAGGCTGGTTCTTAAAAGCGCCCTTAGCTTATGTTCTCTCTGTGTCTGTGGTCATGGGTGTGTCTGGTACTGGCTCCAAGGCCTGCCCAACCTCAGCCAGCAGCGCTGCTCCATAGGCACCATGATGGGTGCTGCAGACGCTGTCGCCTTGTGGCTGCCCTGATACGGCTACTCCCAGTAGGCAGTGGATATACAGGGTCACTGGGCCACAGACCCAGGCAGTGACTTGGTCACTTGTTCTGGGTGGGTCCTGGTGTTGCCATTGCAAGCCATAGGAGTCTGAGTGGATCCTATCCCCTCTCTAGGCCTCAGTTTCTCCATCTACACTAGGGGTGCATTGGGGAGATGCTTGTGGACTTGATGTGGCTGGGTTAGGTGGTTCCAGAGCTCTGACAATTGACAGACAGGAACGGGACATCTGACGCACCTCCCGGTCCCCCAGGATCATGTCAGCAGCTGCCTCTCCTCCATGGTCCTCTCCACTCCACTATGGCCTATACCATGTCTGCTCTTCTCCCTGGCCCTCGGCACTGTGGCCCAAACTCCTCTGGCTATGGAACTCCGCCTTGGTGCAAAGCAGTTCTGAGAACAAGCTTTGAGGCAGTTCCTTTCCTGGGCCCTCACGGAGGCTTCAGGAGCCTTTCTCTGCAGGGATCACAGCAGGCATCCTGGGGTCTGCTCCGCAGTAGAGCCACCCTTGAGCTTGCTGTCTGAATGGCCTGTTGTATGAAAGGGCTGCAGGACTTGCCTGCCTTCCCGCTACTTTCCCTCCCTCCTGAGCTGCCTCCCTCATGGGGAGTCCCTGTCCAGCTGTGCCTTCCTGCTTTCCAGGGTTTCTATGCTGAACAGCAAAGTGTGGGCTCTGGCAGGCCAGAGGGGAAGCCGAAGCAGGGAGAAAGCTGGTATTTACGTTTTGTCTTCCCTGCTGCCCTGCAAGGCCCCAGAAGTGGTCCACACCCCCCAGCTCTCCCTAGCACCTGTCCCTGGTGGATGTCCAGGTCTCCTCTGCAGGCTCAGGCTCAGGCCAGGCCTCACACCAGTGTGGGCATCTCCTCCCCCGCATCTTGTGGGGGTGGGGGGCTAAGTTTCACTCCGAGGGGCAGTCCCCCTGCCAGCGTTCTGGTTCCACTCCTGTCTCTGTGTTTCAAGGAGCGCATATCCTCACCCCAACTGTTGATAAAAATAACCCAGTGACCTTCAACCCAGAATTCTCTCTTGGACAGTGACCAGCCTGGCCACTATCCCCGGACATCTACTGGATGACCTCCAGCTTCTTCTAACTCCACCCATCCGCAATAGAACTTGGCTTCTCCCTCTTGTCACCTCCTCTGCCCTGGCCCTCTTGTCACCTGGGCTAGGCCCAACCTGTTTCTTGTTATCGCCTTCCTTTTGATAGGAAGTGGGCACCTATCCCACTGGCAGGACCACCAGACTCCTCGGATGCACTCACATCGGCCCTGTCCACCTCCAGATCACCCAGGGACTGTGCCTCTTCCCCTGGAGCTGAAGCCTGGGTGGCTCTTGTCCTCACCCAGAGTGGTCTTGGAGCCTTTGAGGCCCCAGCTGGGCCCCAGCAGGGGCACTTCACCCTGCTCCTCTCAAGGGCAAGCCCTGGTGCCAGCCCAGCTCCCTGCCTGCCTGCTGTGCCTGGCAGAGGAAAGGCCCAGGGCAGGCGGGCACAAGCTCCCTGGCAGTGGCGGCATCTTTAGTGGACGCTGGCGCGGCGTGGGGGACGCCAAGTTTGCGGTGATGGACGGGGGAGTCTGTGGCATGGGGGCTGTAACTCATAAGTTACAAGGAAGCTTTGAGGCTAATAAATTTGGAAGCGAAGTATTAATGACTACACAGGGCACTGTGAACTTGGCAGGCCCCACAGCCTGGAACTCTGCAGCCCAGGTTTTAAAAATGATTTGTGCTGGAGCAAGTCTAAACAGAAGCGGCCGCGTCGTCTGATGGGATGTGACTGCTGGCAGGGCTGAGACCAGTGCTGCTTCCCACTATGGGCCGGGCCAGTACCACCCTCCCACCGGTCCCCTACACCCGCCTGAGCAACACGGGCCCCCAGGTTCCCTGACTCATCACTCAGGCTGCAGGTCAACGCCCTGCTGTGACGCTTGGGGTCTGAGGTTCACAGCCAGCACTGGCACTACCCTTTGTCACTCCCAGAGGGCCCAGGACATCCACAGCTTGTCTGGCCATCATTTCTAATGTCATGAGATCCCTCCCTGGACAGAGCCAGGTCACTGAGAGATCAAAGGGGCTACCCCAAGTTCCTGGACCACAGGAGACTGTGAATCACGTGCACCCCTGCTGCCCAGGCTCTGCCCTCTGCCATGAGGCCTTGGCACTGCTCCTGAAGGCTCCAGGGGTGGCTGAGGTGGCAGATGGGGACATATGTTGTGTGACAGGAAAGGGGAGACTCCTAGTAGGTGTTGCCCAAGGAGGTAGCAAGAGCTGACGTGGCGTCTTAGGCTTTTGCAGCCACTCCCAGGGCACGAGGCTGGCACCTAAGGGAGGCCTCCAATATGTCCCAGTTTCCTGGAGAGTGAGGGGCCAGCACTGACCAGTGACACCAGCTAGGGCTGTGACTCAGACCCACTGTTCTCCTCTTCTTTCTGGGAGCTGTCCTGTGTGGCTTCAGCTGTTCATGGCGGAGCTGGGGGACACAGCTCGGTTTGTGTGGGGCTGCACGAAAGGCTTGGCTTCACCTTCCTGGCTCCCTGTGCATTCAAATGTGGCACCCAGTGTCCAGCATGTGTAGGTCACTGGCTGAGGACGACATTCATGCTCTTTACTCCCAGCCAGGGACAGACAGGAAGATGCTGCAGGGCAGCTGGAAGAGATCAAGGTCACAGAGCAAACGGCACCTGCACTGGGGGCAAGACCAGGCTGTACCTGGACGTGGACCAGGTCCTCCTGTCCTTGGGCAGCTGGACCAGGTGGCACTATGCCCACTACCAGGAGGATGTTCAGAAAGGGAAAATATGGCACCTACAGTCCCAGTCGGCACCCAAAGCCTCAGGAGCTGACTGCTACCTAGAGGAGCCACAGCCACAGGGACAAGTGATGTCCCAGAGGCCCCTTGTTCCTCAACCAGTGATGGACTTGCAGGCTCTACTAAGGCCCAGCAGTGGGCCCTGGAGATGTAAGACAGATAAATCTCCCAATGTGACAGTGCTTGGGGTCTGGCAGGGTGGAAGGGCCAGGTATTCAGCCAGAAATGGGGTCTAAGTGTGAAGAGAAGACTGGCAGAAAGCTGGGCCATCCAGCAGGCTGCACCCAAAAGGCTCAGAGCCCTGCTTAAAAGGGGGGATGGGGACAGACACACAGGGATGCTGCCATGGGGGTGGAAAGCAAACAGCAGTGCGTCTGCAGCTCAAGGATCCAAGGGTCCACGGCAGAAGCCAGACTGGAAGCCAGTCAGGGGTTCTTTGTCACCACACTAAGAGGGACTGTCCCTGGAAACACTGATATCAGGCTTCCAGCATCTGTGATGGGGAGAGAGATTTCTGTGTTTAAGCTACCCAATGGGTGGCACTTTGTCACAGGGACCCAGCAAAACTCTTATGCAACATGGAGGGACCTGGGCTTCCCCTGAGGGAGTGTGTGACGCCAGGAATCACATGAGGAATTTGGTATGATCACTGTATGGTGGGGGAAGTATGGTGCAAAAGTCCCCAGAGGAGCAAAGCTGAGGTCAGAGAGCTTGGTGCGGCTGGAAACAATGTGGGACAGCAATGAAGGTGAGGATGGGGAGATTTCAAAATCTATGCAAGCAGCAAAACTACAGGGACAGGGGTCAGCAGAGCCATGGGAGACAGACAGCTATCTGGGACAACATTGGGGAACTCAGTCCTAGGGCTGCAGCCCCCCAGAAACTGCATTTGGTTCTAGATGTTCCTCTGAGGGCTCACAACTCAGCAAGAACCTGAAGAGTTTTGTGCTAGAAAGTGACCATGGCATGCAGGTGACATCTCCAGGAAGCAGCATCTGGAAGGAGGCTGCACCTAAGAAGGTACCAAGTCGGTGAGGCAGAGGATGGCCTGGGCTGCAGCTCCTCTGCGCAAGAATCCTCCTGTCAGCAGAACCCTTGCAGGGAGAAGCTGCCAGCAGGGGTCAGGCACCTGCTCTTAGGAGGTGAGCTGTGGCCCAGGCCTCCTGGCAGTGTCACAGCAGGGACTCTCATGGTAGCAGAGGGCTGGACATGGCAGCCCCTCCTGGCCCCAGATTCTACGGTTCTAGGATCTGATGCTCTCTCAAAGCAACTTATGATGCAACCATCCACAGCTCCAGAGCTTTCTCAGGCCCACCAGCTCCCCACACTCCCTGTGAGGTCAAAGGGGCTCAGTGAGGAGTCCATGTCACAGAAAGCCACACTGAAGCCAAGGAGAGGCAAAACCTCCAGACCTCCTTAGTCTAGCTGGCTCTGTAGTCACTCCCTGGCAAGGGATATACCATCCCAAGATGAAGTCACCATGGGCTCAAGTTGTATTTTCTGGTCCCACTCTGAGCCCAGCATGACCATGTGGCCCTGTGCAGCTCCCCAGCCTGCCTGAAAGGAAAGCTTGGTTTTGGCCCCATCGCAAGCAAGGCTGACAAAACCAAGGCCCAGAAAGGCTGAATCCCCTGCCTGAGACTGCACACCCGGGCATGCAGTTGAGACCTGGATCTGAAACCTCCTCCTTTTGTGCAGTGCCTTGCTTGGGTCACAGCCCCGATTCCATACTCTGTCTTCCATTTGTTCCCATTGCAGAAGTTAGGCTTCAGGCTGCAGCCCAAGCCCGGCTTATCTCTGTGCCCTAGGATGTGGAGTCCAATGGGAAAGTCCCAGGGTCTGGCCTGAAGCCTGGCTTTCCTGTTCATTAGTAATGAGACATTGGGTGGCTCTCCTAGGCAGTGTCCCTGGACAATCACTGCCCGTGCTGGGAAGGAAAGACATAGGCACAGCCTGGACCCAGACACACGAATGGAGCATTGTGGCCAAAGATCGTTTCTAGTTGGGCCAGGGATGCCAGACTCACAGAACTCCAGAAGGCAAACCTAAAGACCCCAATCTGAGGTCTCCCAATTGTAGACAGAGGAAGGGCCATGGCCACTCCTGGTCCAGGAACCCTGAGCCCTGAGGGCTTCACCAGACTCCAAGACTGGACTCACCTTGTGAGGGCTGCAGCTCCTCCATGACACTCTTAGCTGCTGTTTCCTCCTCCCACGCACTGGCCTCGACCACCTTGAAGTGGCTTCGTGGCTGGCTGAGCATGTGCGGGGCCTGTAGGGCTGCCTCTCGCTCCGCTGCCAGGTCCAGGTCCTGCTGTGCCAGGTGGGCGCGCAGCTGCCGGATTTCAAACTGCAAGAGGCAGAGGGCCAGGTGGGTGTGCTGCAGGGGTAGGGAACCAAGGCCTCACATGGAGTCTTGCTCCTCCTGTTGGACAGGATCAGGAGCAGAGGGCTGAGGAGCTAAAGCCTACATGCTGTGCTTCTCAGAAATCCGCTGGTGTCACGCAATCTGAGGGCAGCTGCGGGGACTGGATCTCAGGCCCTGCATCTTCCAGGTCATGTAGTCTTAGACCTTTACCTTCCTTGGCCTTGGTTTGCTTGTTGCTAAGGACTTTGTAAAAACCTGCACACATTTTTAACAGGATTTATTTTTTGTTGGGGAAAGCATCTCACAAAGTCTTCCCGATGCCTCTTGGTTCATGGCTGAGATGGCTGCTCACAACCAGCCTTTCTCTACTTGTAGGTGTAGGCCAAGGATGAATTTGACATGGAAGCCTGGCTGTAGCTCAGAAAAGCCTTCGCTGCCACCTAGTGCCCTGGATGGGCATTGCAGTGCTCTGTGCAAGAGTTCAGAGGGCATGGAGAGCAACAGTGATCAAAGTGGGTCCCTCCCTTGGTCACTTCTTGCAATGATTCCAGAAGCTCTCTCAGCCTTGACCCCTCCTTGAATGCCACACTTGCTACCCCAGCTGGCTGAGTGGACAGGACCTCTCAGACAGCTCAAGGAGATTGCAAATGGCCAGGTCCAACTGGGTGCTACATCTCCCCAAACCTGATGAGACAACAGGTGTCCCACCTCCTATAAGCAGGAGCCGCACACACAATCATCTGCCTCACTTCCTTCCTTTCCCTCACTCCAACATCCAACCTGCTCCCAATCCAGCCCACCCCAAGTGCTCTCTCACTTCTCCCCACCTCTGCTGCCAGCTCACACCTCTCCTGGCCCAGCTCTTTGCGTTCCCTCCTTCCATTCTCAGAAGCCATCATCAGACCACTGTATCCATCCACAGCTCAGTGTCACCACCATCCTTTGGAGGAAGCCCACACTCCTTGCTGGTCCCGCCCATCTATCCAACACAATCTCCTCCTTTCCATTCCCGGCTTCCCCCTGTTCCATAGAGACACCATGCATGCCCAGTCTCCAGACCACTTCCCGGGCTGCTCCAGGACTTTCCCAGCCCCCACATATGACAGGCACTCATCATGCCAGTGTGTAAATTCTGTGTTGCACTTACCACATTCTGATATTTTCATGTATTTCATGAAATTGTATTTTTATGAAAGACTGTGCATACAACTAAAAGCACTTAGTGCTGGGCTGGCCAGGTGGCAGACTGGCACTGGCCACTTTCCTGATGTCTGTGCTTCTTGTGTGGTCCGGGGACTGCTCAGGTCAGGGTTATACAGGTGGCTGCCTGAGCTGGATCACAACATGCCCATGACTGGGGGAAGGACTTTCACTGACCGTGTTTCCATCCCTGCATCTCTCTCCAGCTCCTGCCTAACCCATTACCATGTGGTTCAGTCTCTCTGGAGGACAAACCTCACCATGCAGGGTTTAGAAAGGATGACAGCGATTCTGAATGCTGAGCTCAGGCTTTTGGCCACCTTGCCCCTGACTCACACACACCCTGTCTCCTGCCCCAGAGGCTCTGAGGGGAGATCAACTCCTTTCCCTCATTACTTGTCTGTTCTGTCCCCCCACCCCCCACCCCCGCCGAAAGCTCTGATGACAGAACAAGGCAGTTTCTTATCTCTTATCCCTTTACTTTCATATAAGTGGAGTTTGGGGAAGAGATCAGGTAAATATGTGCAGTTCCTTCTGTACTATGTAAGGACTATCTATGGCGCATCTCTCTCACTCTTGAAAGTTGGGGGAAAGGTCAGATTCTTCCCAGTGCATGCCAATCATTGTAGGATCAGTACTGCCATCATGGCTGATTTTGAGCCATTAATATGGTATTGTGGGTATACTGAAGAAATGTGCGCAGTTGGCTCTCACTAGTGGCAAGAACACTGGCACGCATGACCGCTGCCATCCTCCAGCAGACAGCAGCCTTGCTGTGACGTCACCTGGAACCCGGGAGGTGCTCAGGTGATTTGCTAAATGAGTGAATGAATGAACTGTAGCTTGTTTAGTTCTGTGGTTTCAGACTGAGCCTAACTCCAGCCTCAACCTGTGCCCCAACCCTGAGCCAGAGATGCTGGTTCAACTGAACCCTTATCCCAGGCACATGCAGAGCCCTGACCTGGCCACAGCCTCTGCCCTGACTCTGATCTCAGATGGGGCTCAGACCCTGGATTCCACCAGCCCAGCACCTAATAGGGCTGCTGGTTCATGGTGGGAAGTGAGGCTTGTGAGTGAATTTGTGCAGGAGAGGGCACATGCCACTCTTTGACACCACAGCCTCTAGGTCTTCGAGGGCCCATGGAACAACCCCACTGAGCTCATCCAGCACTCTTGGGCCACTCCACTCCCTCACTTGTAACAGAGGAGCCCTTCCTGCCCACTCTGATCTGAACTTCCCTTGGGCACCCTGGTCTACTTTCTCCAAGGCCATGCGTCTGGGCCTGCAGGCCCAGCTAATGGCTTCCCGGCCACTCTGAAGGGATGCATTATTGATGGCCTGAAATTGATATGGAGCTGCCCTAGAAAGTCCCACTGGAATTCAGGCCAGACAGCTGGAGGCCAGGACTTACCCAGCCCCAGGCCCACGTGTGCACATAACAGCTCGCACACAGATGCAGATTCTAGCTAAAGATATGAGCTCCAAGCATGGTAATTCTCCAAGTCACTTGTTCAGTTACCGAGAAGATGGGTAGAGCCTGCTGGGGCTCTACATTAAAATTCTGTTATACATTCTGCCATGAAAATGCCTGCTTCATCATGGGAATGATCCTTGAGTGGCCCTGGTACAGAGGCAGCATGGAATGTGCAGGAGATAGGTTCAGTAGGAGAGAGGTATTGGGGGCCTGCAGGGTCATAGCAAGCAGTGCATGTGGCCACAGTGAGGTGTCTGAAGAACAAGAAGCCATGGAAATCCTCATAGAACTGATTGAGTAGTAGAGGCAGTGGGTAGTGACCCAGGGAACAGCTTAAAGGGACCACGGCAGCCACAGAGTAGAGTCTGGACCTGATGGGCTCAGGTAGAGACAGTGCAGATGGGGACGAGGATGACTTTTGAGCATGGGTGTTTGCAGGCGGCAGGGACCGGGATGGGGTGAGAAAGAGAACTCCTGTTTCATACACAGTTTTATAAGCTTCCTGTACAGAGGCAGTGGAGTGGGCCAATACTCAGGCCTCACCCTGAGAAATAGCGACTCATTTCTTAGACGCTGCAGAGGGGATACCTGGCTCTCAGTTCCCGTCACTGGCTGGGGCAGCCCAGGAGGCCTCAGGATGTTTCCAGGGGGACCCCCAGAACCTGGCTCCTGTCATACAGGCTTCCTGTTGCCAACAGGAGGGCTGCCAAGGGTCTCAGGAGGCCAGATGCTGATGAGTCTGGAAGAGGAACTGAGGCCTGGAGGAAGGAGGAGCCCTCTGCTTGGGGAGAGGGCCGGCAGAGGTGAGGACCACACGGTGCCTCTGCAGCAAAGCAGGGGACACAGACAGTGACTAGCTTCCAACCGCAAGACCTTGTGTCAGGGACTTTGCAATGCATAGATGGAAAATGACTTAGCAAATAGTACAGAGCAGCTTGGTGGCTGCAGGGCCAGAAAAGAGCAGGAACTCCCCAGGAGGGCAGAGCCTAGAGTAGGGGGCAGGAACCTGAGCTGCTGGTCTCCCATCCCTGGCTCTGGTCTCTTTATTTAGCTGTGTTTCCCAGTAAGACAAACAGCCTTGCTGAGTTCTGGGTTGGAAATGGACTCAGCACTATCTCTGGGCCCCAGTTGGTGAGAGAGGATGCAAGCACCAGGTAATCCTCAGCGTCTTGAGGTCATCCCCTGTTCCCTGCAGGGGTGTTCATTCCTGGGGACCAAGTCTGTAGAGAAAGCAAAATCCAGAAGCGATTATCCAGAAGTGGATAATCAGCATCACAGAGCATGGAATGTGAACCACCAGTCATACAAATAAGCAGGGAGAACTCACTGACCACCAAGATGTAAAACAATCAGTTGATGCTCACCTATGTAAATATTTGAGTCAACAGATAAAGTAGGGCCTGGTGGCTAATTGGGAGGCTTAGGCAGGAGGACTGCAAGTTCCATAGTGAGATCCTGTCTCAAAGTAAAGGGGTGGGGATGCAGCTTAGCACTCCCAAGGTTTACTCCTCACTGATGTGATTAAGAAAAAAAACAAAAAACAAAAAACTTCCAAGTAACTATGATTAATATGTTAAAAAAAATAAACAACAAAAAAAAATGGGTACAATGTAGCATTCCAACAAGGAATTGAGAGTCTACAAAAGGGATTCTATGAAACTTTCAAAACCTTCAAATGCAGTATTTAAAATTAAGTACTGATTGGGGTGACAGCAGATTAGACATGATAAAACATTTTCTGAACAGCCTAATAAAAATATCAAAACTTAAAGCCTGAGGGGAAAAAAGGAGGGGCATAGAGAATAGAACAGGGTATGAGAGAGACATGAGACACAGTCAGTTGGCTCGACACAGGATTAAAGTCCCAGAAGACAATGAAAAAATGTGATAGAAGCAATAAATCCATCAGTTCCAAAGCCAGGGGTGTGGCTCTTGCAAGGTCATGTGGAAGGCCCTGGGTCCAATCCCCAGCACCGAAGAAAGCCCCAAAACTAATGAGAACAGCCCATCGTTCCAGAGGCTCAGACGCTCCTGAGCAGGATAAACACAGAAACCTCACACTGAGACACGATCAAGTCCCACAGGAAGAGCCACCCCGCACTCGGATTCCCCGGGAGAGGGTGTAGAGGGCTTCGATGATGGAAAGACACAAGTTTTCCACTGGCAAACTGACCTGTTAGGGGAAAAAAAAAGTCCACCACAGGCTGGGAAAGAATTCAAAGAGCAGTCACGGCCCCACTAAATGCAAGTCATTAGCTAAGCACTTCTAATAGGATAACCCGCCCAGATGGGCTGGGGTCCACAGGG